TCGTTTATGCATTGTATCACAGCATTGGTGAGAGGCAGGACTTTACGAAAATGTCGCGGACGCACATGAGATTTGCACACAGCTATTCTCTTGATTCCATGCCATTCCATTCCATGCCATAGGACCTCATGCATACTATACAGCATGCTCGAGATTGGCCTGCATTCCCCACGGCCCATGCGACAGTTATCACGCGCCCGGGTGGCCGGTTGGATACCCTTTGCTCGGGTGGGAGGACGGGGTCAGTTTGACCCCCCTGAGACCTAAGGAACTAAGAGAGCTGGAGACACCAAATTCACAGGATGTGTGGCCTGTATGTGAACTCATTTAAGTCAAAGTTTGAGGTTCCTAGATCATGACCTTCGGATCGAAGAAGGCCAAACGAGGTCAAACTCCAGGCTGGTCTAGATACCTGTTCTAAGCAAAAGGTCACTGCTCATTCAAGTTCAGTGACCTTGTTTGACCTTTTTTAGGACATGGTGACCAAAATCGCACAAGACTGCTTTGAGTTTTCCATTTGAATAAGCAATACATATTACGCTCAGCAGAATGTTGCTACAAGCAAAACGTCGACCTGGGTCATTTTAGGTTAGTGCCCTACTCTGGCCTTTGAGAAGTCCATGGAAGATATATAATGTGGTTCCTACTATCAATAAATTCCAAATGAGCAACAGAAACTACCCCATACAGCAAGCCCAGAGCAATAAAATGGGTTGGTTTTGACCTTGGCCATAAAATGGGTTGGTTCATTACTGACCATGGTTCATTACCATGGTTCATTACTGACATTAGGTCATTGAAATTTGTTCATGCCATTGTTGTGTTGCCTAAGAGAATATCTCAGAAATGTATGGCTTTGTCTAACACTCCGTTGTTGCATTAGATTGAACTCTTCCCTAGAAATTGACTTTGCTGAATCCATGACCTGACTGTGCCCTGCCGTAGGTCAGCGACCTTTCAAGGTGCATCTGAATTTTTGATACCAAACCATTCACTATTCAGTTGTCTACAGATATGCAAAATTTGGCGAGGCTGTGCCACGGGTGTTCTGAAACCATTCCAGAAAAACCTTTGAGGGGGTCAATTTGGCCCCCACCCAAGCAGGTGCTAACCTTGGCTTTTTCTGGAGTCCCTTGCCCATTCCCAACTCTTCTGGCTTCAAAGCCATGTGCGGTTCATAGAAATATACTACCACAAGCTGGGTGGAAAAGTGTCTTCATGTCTTTTATAAACTATGCAACCACGGATGTACAAATTCTCACTCATAAGCCGAATGTTGCAAGGAAATGTTCAGATCAGGGTGGGTTGAACAGAGACTGAAAGTTCCGCCAGGATATGGACCATTTCTGCTCTTATTTCACCATGTTGGCAACACATGGAGTTGCATCTAGTCTCACATTGTGTCATATTCCTGATTGTCTGTGACATCAGCAGTTTCTTCTGTACTTGTTCAGCAGTTCTTAAAAAAAACATTTATGTTGGGGGAAGAGGGCATTACCTGAGCACCGCTTGCTACTTTGCACTTACCACTTCACACACTTAGCACCACTTACTACTACTTTGGACTACCTCAGCCGAGAGTTCATTCTCACATGGGATGACCCGCAAGCATGATACCTGGGGGGGCTGACCATTCCTTTTGGACTGCCTCAACTTTTGCTGGTCATCCCCATTGATGTCAGACTGATCCCACTCAATTCTATTGGCTGTTTTCACCACAGGCAGTATCACCAGGTCAGCTACATTGTGATATTAATCTTCTCTGATCATTCCACAGTGCACAATATGAAGAATAGGAGCATTGATTCCATCCATGTATGGTACTGGTTTCAAGTGATCTGGCAATGACATTGAGGTTCTCCTTTGCAGATGTCTATGATGCATTTTAAGCCATCATTAGCAGATGAGTCAATGCAGCATTTGCATGCTACAGATGTGGGCAGACCATCATTTTGCATTGTGGGGTTAGGTGACAAGAATGTGCATCTGATGTCACAAAAACTGCATTGGCATTACCTACTGCAGCTGCAATTTACTTGTTAAATTTCTGGCATGCTTTTTATTCATCAAGTCCCTCTCAACACTTATAGTCACTTGTTCATGTCTGCCACCCCACAGCTGAAACCAGGGTTTTGGCTCCCTCAAGTGTATCTACTCACATTTTTTTCAAGTTGAATGGGAGGTGTAATATCCTGCCCACTTCTCCAGGGCTCTTGTGGAGACTGGATGAGTTCCCTGCTACCACCACTTGCCACCACACCTAAACTACCTAAGCATCATCACCAGCAAGCAGATTTACTCCACTCTAAACTCTCATAGCACCATGTGGACATTAGCTTCAGGAGCAGTGCCAATTTTCACAGAGCTTTGTGGGATGCTGCTGTCTTGTATCACTGAGAATGACAAAGACCTGGTGACATCCTGACAACCAACACCATATACCCGCAACTTATACAGCAGCCTTTAATGAGGGTCCTCACTCCAACCAAGAGCTTCACAGAAATTCTGAAGGATAACATCACTGAGGCTGCCACATCATCCACAACTACAGCTCCATCACAACAGTCAATGACTTCTCTGATGGACTCAAAGGCACCCAACTGAGAGCAAAGCTCTGGTAAGGTAAAATAGCATGAACCAAATATCAAAAGGGGAGGGATATTGACATTGCCAGCCCTTTTGGACATAATCACACAATAGTTACATAACATACACCATCAATAGGTACATCTTAGAAATGTAAAAAAAGCTTGTCACTTTGATACACAGTGCTGCTGGCACATCCTCACAAGCCATATCATCCCCAAACATTCCTATTACACAGGAAAATAGACATAGTGTCTCTGTTTTTTACAGGCATGTTCCTGATTGCAGCTCACCCATTTAATACCCCAATGCATTGTAAAACACATGCTTTGTGATGAAAAATGACAATGCAAAGTGCAATCATGCAAGCATGAGGGGAAGCTGTGCACAAGAAACATGCATATGCTCAATACTATCCTAGATTGGCATGAGGCCAAAGAGATAGAGTGCATCCTCTCAACATCCCATATCAAATGTACAGGGACTTGCCCTATTACATTCCCAAGAAATGCAGACCTGACAACCACCAGGCCAGGCACTGGACTTGTTCCATTATGAACTTCTGACACAGCTGATCACAAATATGTATTGGTCACAACATACAAGAACAAATGCAAATGCATCCAAGCAGACTGTTGGACAAGCTACTCTGTCACCTATCACATGGGTAACTTACCACATGGGGTCAGCGGTATCATACCACTAAATGCAACACATTACACTACTACATCAAACTGCGCTGAGCGCAAATCTGTCCTCATCCCCTTTGAGATGTTAGGTTAAGACCAGTGCCAAGCAGCTCCAAAAACAAAATAAATTCGTTATCAGCGAACCATGGCAAATTCGAAGCTAAAGTAAAGGCTCGCTGCGGGCTCCCCGTCTACACAGGCCTTCCCCAAAAACGATATAGTCATCCCTTCGCGGACTGGGCACGCACTTTCTCATTGGTTTTTGAACAAAACGTAGCGTCAATCAAGTTGTTACCTACTAACGTAAGGATCATATTACCCGAGGCAGACTTAAACGATGCGTAGAAACAAGTTCCGCGGCCATTACCTTTGGACGCAGCGCTGGGCAATAATACGCATGGAACGGTCTACATCGCCCCTGCATGAAACCAATGCAATGGTCTGAAACAACGTCGCACCTTTTGTGGATGTCGTCCGCTCACACGGCATGCACATTTTCAGAATCTATGACATCATTAGCGGCTCAGCTTTCTCCGTCGCCGACGCATGGTCGTTGGTCATGGCTATGTTCCAATTAGCTCTGCACATCTACACGGTTATATTGACTCCGAAGTCTTTAAGTCAAGTATATGTTTGCATGAAATACCCATTGCTCCGTGTCTCTACAATTGGTTCCATCAGTATCACAATTTTATCAAGACAATCATGCAGTAGAGCTCCATTTTCACCATCATTAAAAAAGTCATGGAATAGTTCGTGATTATAGATATGCTTCGAAGCCATGTCGAAGCCTTGTCGAGCATTCTCCTTAGTCATAAGTACACATTGAAATAGGACTAAGGAGAATGCTCGACGTCTTCCATGTCAAGGGTTTATGATCGAACATACGCTTGAATGGAGCAGGCAGGGCTCAGGAAATGTAAGGGAGCAGTTTGCTGTACAAATGGTATTTGAGGTGCTAATTAGACAACTACGCTCTTTTGAGTTCCTCACCCCAAAAAAATCAGGCGCCAGCACTGACTGCGCTATATGGACCATTTTCAAATCATGTATCCAGGGAAAACCTTAAGACCTCATGACGTCACAAAGTCGGTAACGTGACTTAATCAGCAAAGCTGGCGCAGCTGTTACGTGCAAGCAAAGCAGGCGATCCCGATGCACTCGTCTGCTCTTGGGAGCCTCTGTCGTCCAGTTGAGACAAAACCTTCACCATCGAGTACAACTCAGATCCAAAAGCCAAACGGTTCTTCAGTGCATTCGCTTGCCGTGATCTTTACTTGAACCGACACCCGATAAATGCATCAGATCAAAAACAGCGTTGCAGAAATCCGGTCGGGTTGCCTCTTCGGATACCAGTTAGCCAGGACGTGACACCCATGGGATGCATCAAAACGGAAGAGGCAAACTGCTCCCGTCGTTACGTCTGAATGAAGAACCATTTAGGAACATTCATTTGAAATTAGAGCCTGTGATATGATTTTGTGTCACAGCATTTGTTTAGCTTATAAGGGTATTTCCGTGTATAATACCAAAATGCGTTTTTTCATATTTCAATGTGTACTTATGAAATTGTTTAGGTTTACTGCTTAAGTTTCTCATGCATTCGGGTATTCACGTGCCTACCATATCTTATCCAATCGCAGCACTTTAGCCAATTGCATGCAGTCGGCCGCCGTGGCGCTAGTGTCGCTGTCGTCGCCACATCATCGCTGCGCCGCCATTTTCTTCCTCTTTCTCGGGTGGAGTTTCGGGCGGTGAAGGCGTGTGTGCGGGTGCTCCGCGCTCATTGTAGTACAATTTCGCTCTAGGAGGCAGCAGAATGCTTAAATTGTGCCCTGGTATGGGTAGGTTGTTACAGAGAGTACTGTACTCACCAGAAAAGTCACTGGTTGCCTTGAAGATAAATTGTAAAGAAAACTGCATTAAATGTGGGCTGAGAACCATGATACCAAGCCAAGCAGGCAGACCTTTCCATACTGGTGAAGTTTTGGGCAAGGAGGATGGTCGCAGAGCTGTGAAAGTGCCCAAACCTGATGATGGAACTGAGGGTGAAGCAAGCATTAGTCTGGACTACAGGCTATCAGGTATGGATGAAACCATGTTTTTCTGCAGCTCATAGCTTTTTGACATGTATACTCTGGTTGAGGAATGCACGGGATTTCAGGGAAGCTTCAACATATTGCTACAGGTGGTATCCTTGTGTGTTGTGTGGGCTTGCTTCACTAAACTGTTCCATTGTCTTTTGCCTGCTGATGTTTCCAGCTTGACCTTAGGTTTCTTGGGGAATGAGCATCCTTAATATGATGTGCTCCTCTCATGATTCTGCCGACTGGTTTCTTGTAACGTGGCTCGTGTTGGTTTGAATCCCAGTGCTGGTATGCCCAGATATATTTTGTGGTGCTTACAAAACATTTTGGGCACTGCATATTTGAGCAAGCTATTCTTCCATGTGATTTGGACCACATTGTTTTGTCTTTTGACTGGTGACATTTAATGTTATTAGTTGACTATTTTATGTGTAAAGAGTGAATTGCTTCGGTTGGTACTTGCCTACCACTGGAAGAGATGCTGCAATTACATAAAAAGCTGATTATTTTGGTGCTAGGGGTAAGAGTGTGGCTGTGATTTAGATAGAGTCCAATGATATCATCAGGTGGAGTTACCTTTTCCATTCAATGTATTGCCATATTGCAATTATAGATGCATGACAGGAAAAGCCAATAATCATGCTTGTTAGTCATATAATATGCTAAAGATCTAAAGTAGGAGGAAAAGCTACAAGCAAGGCATGGCTAAGGTGGGAATTATGTTTAAAATAAACTCCATGGTAAGTTGAGGTCTATGGATGCCTCAGTTTGACTACAGGTTCTTAGCCAAGGTTCTATAGGACATAATGGGATGGCCAGTTCTAAATCTGACAATATTGGTACAGGACATAGCTGAGCTTGATTGTCACTGTGCAGATACCATTGGTACCTGTTTTTTGTAGAGAGGATGTGCGCATATTTCTATGACTAAAACATGCAAAAAGTGCTCATGAGTATTGCCTTGCAGTTTGTTTTCTGGTATCCCACTTGCAGAGTCCTTACAGTTTTAATTGTTTTATAATATAGTAGTTAAGATTGGGTTATGGAACCCAGTCCTGCATTGGAGTCTAGGTGGGGGTGTGATAAAGACATGGCAAAGTGGAGATTGAGGCACTCAAGTTTGTATTTATTATTTAAAACACTGATCAAAAAGAAGATAAGTTCAGGGGTTTCTAGTAGCATTTCCTGCATTTTGTTTGTGCATCTTTATTTTTGGGACAACCCTCATATCTTTGTTGTCTTACATTCACATGTTTCAGAGGCAAGCATATTTTCTGGCAAAGTACTCCCAGTGTCTCACTTTGTCTTACCACTCACATTTGTTTCAGAACAGACAGCACATTCCCAGATGAAAATACTCCCAATATCCTGGTGGAAGGGGTGAAGTTCTCAGACCTGCCGATTTGCAGTGTGAGGGTCTCAAAGAACAACACAGTGTTCTCAATTTCTACATCTCAAGGTAAAAGGTGCTTCATGTTTCAAATGTGCCATATGTGTTTGACTGCTTCGATCTTGTCATACATCGTTTGTGCTAGTGGTATTCCAATTTGTGTACTTGCTTGTGTTATTGTTTTCATTGTAGCATTCTGTATCCTGTTATTTATGATTGACTATTTGTAGCATTGATCAACTATTTGAAACATTGCTTCGTAAACTCAGCTAAGAGTTTAGGATGTGGTATGTTCGTAAAGATATCTTTGTATTGTTACAGGGCTTGTGAAGATGATACGTTCCTGTGGAATGGAGGGTTTTAAGAACACCAAGAAAGGTACAAATGTTGCTGCTCAGGCAACTGGAATTGCAATGGCTGTGGTAAGAAATACATCATTTGATTCTTAGAATAAGAATTTCTATAGGAGGGGAAAACCGTTCAGTTGTTTTTGAATACACTTTCAGGATAACATAGTGGTGTTGTACCATTGTTCATGTTCCAGCAGCTAGTACATTCAGGTCCTGAATTTGGCTTCATGCAAGCTATTGTGGTTGTTCATGATATTCACCATGAAAGTTTGTGAAGCTTTTCAGTTAACCTGTCTTTTGGCTCTCTTTGTTTGAAACAGCCAGTACCTATTTGTGATTAAGCACTGATATGCCAGGCTGCTCATGCTTGTCTCTGGTTTCAGAGAGCCTTGAACAAAGGCTACAAGAATGTCCGGGTGCTGATTCGAGGCCTGGGGCCAGGGCGCATGGTAAGTACATGACATGCAGAGAAGTGAGATATATGTGAAGCTCAATTCATGTGTACACACCATGCTGTGTAATTGCGGTTGTAAGCGCGCTGAGTGTTTTTAAACAGTAACATCAGTGGAGTTCATTTCATCACATGCTGTGCTCAAAATGTAGGTAAATGTGTATCCACCCAACAAGATATCACTACACTGCTGATTGTCATGACCTGAATGAAATTGGAATAGTATTTATTTCTTCCTATGTGTAAATAATTGACCACTGATTTGCCAGGTTAACCTCATTGATTTGGTTTTACCAGGTGAGGTCACTGGGGGATAGCTGTTCAAGAGTGCTGATCTGGTGTAAGGCTATAGAGGATACCTGATGCTATGTGCTGCTTTGAATCTAGCCTCATGTTTTGGGTGCTGAAATTCCACAGTCTTCTGGATGCCAAAGCTTTCACACCTAAACTGCCTAAGAAATTGGGCAGACCATACATTTTGGGAGTATTGAAGGACTTCCAATCCGGGGGAGCGGGAGTTGTCAAGGATGCCCATGTTTCTGCTCTTGTTTGTGGCATCAAACATGGGCTATAGTAATTAATCTGGATTGCTGCATTGGATGTTTGGTGATAGGCATTGATGTGGCACCCTGCACTGGCTTGGGAAATCACCCATCCCCCCATGTGACAATGAGAAGACCATGTTTTGTGTTGAGCTTGTGACAAAGGATTGTGTTGTAAGACAGGATGCTTTATCATGTCATATGTCAGATTCTTTCCGGTTGCCCTCCATTTGGAGGCATTACTACTGTCGAGGGTGCCTTGGTCCAGGGTCAGCACAGCAGGTGGGGAGGGTGAAGGGGCAGAGGGCTCTTCTGCTGGTGGCAGGGGGCCATGTATATGGTTCTTGTCCCTTCAAAAGTTAGGGAGGCCCCCCCCCCCTTTTGCCCGAACAAATGCTAGCTCATCTAGGTAACCTAAATTCAGATCAAGGTGGCCTTCATGACGGTACTTGAGGTTACTTTGTTGGGATCAAGATTTCGGCATGACGTTTCCCTTTTCTGGATCACGAGGCCACACATGCTCTAGATCAGGGTACCTCTGTTAAAAGGCTGCTTGCTGACCCTGGAGACCATCAATATGAACAAGGAGGTCCCGGTAATGAATGAGCGGCCCATGTTTTAAGTCGGGAGGCCCCGGGGAAACAGTAGGACTCCCGTTATGCAATGTGGCCCCGTTAAGTGATAGGACGCCATTATGCAGTAGGGTCCGCTGTCATGCCTTTGGGCCCGGTTGTGTAGTAGGATGCGGTTATACCATAAGGCCCCATTATGGAAAAGGACCCTGTTATGCAGTATGGTCCCCTGTCATGCCTTTGGGCCCGGTTGTGCAGTAGGACGCGGTTATACCAAAAGGCCCCACTATGGAAAAGGACCCCGTTATGCAGGACTGCGTTCTGCGGTAGGCCCGTGGTGCAACAGGCTCGTGATGCAATATGCACCATTATCCAATTGGGTCTTGTTATGCATAAGGTCCCGTTATGCCGTAAGCCTCGCTACGCAGTAAACATAGCTATAAAGTAAGGCCCGCGTTATGCGACAGGGCCCCCGTTATGCAAAATGCTCCTCTATGCGATAGGCCCCCTTTATGCAACAGGGCCTCCATTAAGGAATGGGACCCCATTATGCAATAGAGCCCATCATGCAATAGTGTCCCCATTATGCAGCAGGGTCCTCATGCAACAGGCACCCGTTATGGCATAGGGCCGCCGTCATGTCAGGGCACCTGTTATGCCTTAGGACCCCTGTCATGGTATATGTCCCCGGTTATGATACAGGGCCCCGGCTATGCCATAATGCCCCCGTTATGCCGTAGGGCCTCTGGTGCCTTAGGCCCCCGTTATATCATAGGGCCCCCGTTGTTCCATGGCCCCCCCCCCATTATTCCATAGGGGTCCCTTTATTCCATTGGGCCCCGTCATGCCATAGGGCCCCCGTTATGTCATAGGCCCCCGTTACGCCATAGGACCGCCGTTATGTCATAAGGCCCCCGTTGTGTCATAGGCCCCCGTTATGCCATAGGGCCCCCGTTATGCCATAAGCCCCGTTATGCCATAGGCCCGTTATGCCGTAGGCCCCCGTTATGCCATAGGGCCCCCGTTATGTCATAGGTTCTCGTTATTCCAAAGGGCCCTGTCACTTCATGGGACCTCGTTATTCCACGGGCCCCCTTTATTCCATAGGGCCCTCGTTATTCCATAGGGCCCTCGCTATACCATAGATCCACCGTAGTGCCGTTGGGCATCGTTAGGCCATAGAACCTCCGTCATGCACTTGGGCCCCGTTATGAAATGGGCCCCCGTTATGTACTGGGGCCTCCGTCATGTAATAGGGCATCCGTTGTGCAACAGAGCATCTGTTATGCCAAAGGACATCCGTTATGCAACAGGGCCCCGTTACGGAATGGGGCTCCCGTAGTGAAACTAAATATTCCGCCAATAACAAGAAGGCCCGTTGTCACGTGATAGGCCCTGTCATGGACTAGTAGGCCCCTTACAGGGCCAGCAGACCTGTTCGTGAACTATTACGCCCCGTTATGAACTAGGGGACCTCTCATGATCTAGAAGGCTCCTGTTTTTTGAGCTAAGAGGTCCCCGTAGGAGGCCCCATTTATGAAATTGGAGGCCTCTCGTCATGATTTAGGATGCCCCATTTTAAACTACAAAGCCCCGTTTTGGAATAGGATGCCCCTGCTGCGAATCGCAAGGCCCTCGTTTTGAGCTAGCATGTTCCTGTTACGAACTAGGAGGCCCGTGGTGAATAGGAGGCCCGGGGTGAAAAGGAAGCCCGTGATGAATAGGAGACACGTAATGAATAGGAGGCCCGTAATGAATGCAAGGCCCGTAATGAATATAGGGCCCGTAATGAATAGGAGGCCCGCTATGAATATGCGTATTATGAATACGGAGGCCCGTTATGAATACGAGGCCCGTTATGAACACGATACCCTGTTTTAGGTTTACAGGCAGTTCTATAAGCCATGAGACCCCTTTTCCAAAATAGGAGGCCCCGTTCATGTATCAGCAGTTTCGTAGCCGGGCCAGACTACCACGATGTGTGCCAGTGAAGCGACCGAAATGTGGATATTACAAAAAAGTATCGAATCCTTGATACCAAAAATCAGCAAAAGAAGTTAAAGGGGTCGCGCACGGGATCCAAAATTTGCAGTTTTTTTCAAGAAATGTTGCTTAAATATGACCAGTTACCCTCTGAAAATCGTGAGCACTTGCCTTAGGGTTATGTAAGTGCCACCATCATGAAGATAAGCTGTTAAGCTTTCTTTTCGTGCTACTTTTGATACATATCGCCTGGCTAGTTGACTTAGGCCGGCAAAAATATCAAATCTTACATCTATTCCGAAATAGTGCTCTCTCGCATATGTAGATGAGCAGCGATTATGCAGACACTGAGGCTTCCTATCACTGCCCCGTTGACGGCTGGGCGGCAGCCGGTGCCCTTGCCTAGGAACGGCTACCTTTTTGCAAGGTCACGGTAGGCCACCGTTCTGCAGGGCACGGGACGAAGGTTTACGTCCAGCCCCTTCACTCATAGGCTCGCGGTTGGTGAGCATTCCTTGCGACGGGGTTCTGTCGGCTTCGCAGCCTTGCGTCCTGTCACGGACTGGACGGTGTGCCTGTTGTAAAGTTATCTTTGGAATCTTTTGTAGGTTCGAACTGTGTAGCTCCAAACTTTTTCGTGTCATGACGTGACGAGACAAAAATTGCGTTATATGCTTAACCAGGCTAAGTGAAGCCCTTTTCTGATGCGCGCATGGGGAGTGCATTGTTTGGCACGTACGCTGAAATTGTAAGGCTGCAAAAACTAAAGTTATGTTTGGTACTACAAAATGTGTTGGATAAGTGTTCACAGTCCCGGGAAAATGTTTAGGAAAGGGGAAGTCACCAGAGACCGTCGCATGTAATAATTCCTCAACCCAATCCACTCGCTCCCCATCCATGGGGCTGTACCCATATACGGCCCTGACCCGTTATCTCCACCCGTAGCCCATAGTTTACATTTTTCAGGCATTCAATGGAAAGTGCTGGAAGTTTGAGGTACGTTTGTAGCCAAACTCGCTCTGTCTGTCTGTCATTAAGGCCTTACGACGCACTCAGCTGCTGAAGCTTAGTGGCGTCGCCTGCCTGTCATCTCGGCAGGAAGGGCGGGCACCGCGGGGAATCGAACCCAGTACCTCTGGTTTCGCAGACGCGTAGTGGTTAACGCAGACGCGTTTACCACGTTACCAACATCCCCCCAAACTTGCTATTTTGCGTCGGTAATTGCAAAAGTAATGCCATTGGAGTTAATGATGTCGGGACGAGTCGCGAGTAGTAACACTGAAGTGGCTTTCTTTGATAATGTACCAACATTTCGTAACGTCTTGCTCAAACCAGCACCCAAAATTCACCAACCCACACTGTATTGGACCAAATCTTTAATGAAATGAGGGTTTTTCTATAGCTCGCACCCAAACTTGCTGCCTTGCAATAGTGATGGCAAAAGTATGGAGGTAATCATGACGAAATGGACCGCAAGCAGTGCGTTCGTGGTAGCAGTAACTTGAGGTGTCTTGTGTAACATTTCGTACGTCTTACCCCGCTCTCTGGCCCATGTTGATAATTTCTCCAACAAATTTTTGCACACCCAAACCGTTGCCCACCATATATGGGTATCCACGTGTTTATTCAACCCATCTTGATTCCTATTGTCGAGCGCCCTTACCCAAAACTGTCGAAAAGCTAAAGAAGGAGACGTGCAAAAGTGGCCTGAAAAAGTGCCGTGGAGAGTTTTTACGGAGCTTCGGGTTTAAAAAAAAAAGCGGATCGTGGGCTTAACGCGCGCGCAAAGCGTGAAACATTGTACTTCTGCCACTTAAGATTCAACTTGTTAAAACTGCATTATCGCCTGATTGTCTGGGAAGTTTGGATGCATTTCAAGGTGGAAAGGACACACACAAGTACCCTTCTTCAAAACAATAGCTTGGTACTTTATCAAAACCCGACTTCGGTTCTTCATACAAGGTTTGAAAGTGGTAACAAACTGGGGGTGCTGACTATATCGCTTTTCCAATGTGATTGTTGCAGATTTCGGCACGAAAAAGGGTTCCATGTAGAGGCCTTCACGGGTACATTTCCTGTACCCATTTCATCTGCTACTCATGGTGATTCGTCCACATCCACCCTCTGCCCATTCCTATTCAGTGGTAGTCATCCGCC